CCGGGGCTGCAACCTCTCGTTTGAAATCTGCAATGTCCCAGCAGCTTCTGCATTTAGAACAATTCTTGGAGTGACCCCTGCCAGGTCCGTGTGACGTTCGCCGGCGACGTCTGGGCGGCTGCTGTCTCGCTCTTCGAGATCTGCTGCCCGAAAAAGACTTCGCTTTGGACAATCGCACCCCAGTCGTTCCTCCGGGCCAGCGAGGAGCAGACGGCGAAGGCCATTCGGGATATGGCTGTCGCGAAGAGCTCCAAGTTTATGCCCTTCGACGGGGCCATCAAGGACATCCTGACCCAGACCTTCGTGCCAGCCAATCGACGGCTGACTTTGCCAGCCATGCTGCAGATCGTCCAGAAAGACGTTCGGTCAACCGGTCGCTCGTGCCGGTCCGACAGACAGCTGTGACAGAAATCTCTGCTTCGGTCCACCGTGCACGAAGCATCCAGCGAGGCCACTCTTGCATCTCGTCAGGGAGCACGTCGTTCGAAGAAGCTGGAAAAAGTCTGCACCTCCTGCTCTCGTCATGCAGCGATTTTGTCTTGCCTTACAGTCGCTGCACACGAAACCCACCACAAGTCTACTACCGTAAAGTCTTCTCCCCCAGTAAAACTGCCCGCTTTAAAGCCGAAAACTTTGCCAGGTGCTCTACCTCCGGACGATCGCCTGCAGTGGCCTCTTCCGCCGTTCGCGGAAACCGGATAAGCCGTCACACCTAATTTTTAAGAGCACGAACGACCCGAAACCCTGAACCCTAGATCCTACACCTAGACATCATAAGGCGAGTAGCCCTCTAGCCTCCCTCTGAACCTTTAACCTGAACCAATTTTACAGCTCACGACTTTATTGGCCCACGAAACTCAGTTTCAGACTCCGTCATGGACATGCAATCCTACTGAACCAGTTTTTTTCCTCCATTTTTCCCTTCGCTCCGTACTCAGATCCACAAACAGCTCCGAAGCCACTTCCCAAAAACAGTAAAAGAAAGTGTGCAAACAAGCTTTTCTGCAAGCGGTTCCCTTCGAGGAATGCCTGCCTGTTCTCAGGCAATCCTTGGATTGCCCACCCAAAACAAAAGTTGACACTTCGCATGAAAAAATGCAACTGCAAAAACCTCACACCACGGTATACAAACCTACACCGGCGACACCGAGAGTCTGTGTTTTTACCCAATCCTACACTGAGTCTTTTTTTGAAAGGTTTTGCCTGTTCAAAGCATGGCTCCCCTTACAAAACTGCATTACATATCATGTCAAAAACACCCAAGTGATATAATCAAGAATTCCTGCTGCCAAACTCATCGTTTCCGAGCAAG